CAGGTGCAAAGTGACAGGCGAACAGCGGACTTCACGCAGTTTTGGCTGCTGCATGGTCGCCTGACATTGCATACTGAAAAGAGAAGGATGAAAAAGAAAACCTTCCAAGATCTCCCTATTCCCCTCGCGTTCACTAAGAGCTAATAGCTCTCTAACAACAGATATGCAATCGACCCCTATATCGTTTTACTTCCTATGTTGTCGACTCTTCAATATGACAAAAACGCTCCGCAAGCCTTTTTGTTATATTGAAGAGTCGACAACTAGGAAGTAAAACGCTGCATTCCGAACATGACAGCCGAATACCTACACAAGCGTTACGACATATTCAAGTTCTTTGTGTAAATTCTTGCGAGCATGAGAGTCCTAAAATCTAAGCAGTAGAAGCACAAGAAAATGTTAAAATGAACTAAATCAGTTCCGCAAAAGGTTTAATAGGTTGCAGTCTTTTGATTCCTTCTCTTTCATCTTATCGTTCAATTATTCAACTCAGCCATAACGACATAACAAACAAGAGAGATCTGCAAGGTATTTGAATAAATTTTGAGCCTAACTGCGGATTTTGATATTCTAAAGAGTAGTCGAGGGGTTACTATGCTCAGAAAATTCATAATCTTTTATCTTGTGTGAATCCTATTATTCGCAAAGAAACGTTATTACTCATCCATTTTCCAAACATTCGTTGTTGAGTCATAGCACTTAATCTTCGTCCAAAAGAAAAAAACCTTTTTTAATATCACATAACTTTTATTGTTTGTGTAAAGATGATTTTATACCGTCAATTATTGACACCATGCTGCAGGTTTGTTTTTATAAAATTGTCAATAATAAGCAATTCTTTGGGTCAAATTAATTAGGATTATTATGGACTTTGATGGGCGATATTTTGGCTATTGATACTTTCCATGGATAACTTGAAAAGTTCCTCATATTAGTCTTATCGTTGGCCCTTCCGCGATGGTCTACCGCCCACGTGGCCTAGGGGTGACTCGGGTTGTCGAACTGCGAACCAGAGGTCTATCCTCCAGCAGGGATGGCTCCATCATCCACATGGCATTCCGTTGAAAGCTCAGCCAGCCCAGGCAAGGCTTTTAGATTTAGGAAAGTTTTTATCACCTATTTAGCATGTAAATTAAGAGAACTGCACAATGGCCTCCGGCGTCGGATGCTAAGACCAGTGTCAGATCGCACTGGACGTCATTGATTTCCGACAGGACAAGTCAACCATTCGCCATGGAGATTGTCTCATGCTCTACACCTGTCAGGCGGTCTCCACCAACGCCGATCGCATCAACTATCACATAATCACCTTGCAGGGAATAAAGTCCAGGAATGAGGGAGACGTGACTCAGCTGAATGATGGCTGACTCATCATTTGTGGTGAAATCCCATCAAATGTCGGAAACAGAGTTTGTCATACATTCACGTGTTGCCCTTTTTTTAGTTGGAATGAGATCCTATCACCTTGCTTGGCCTTCGACTCTGTCTATACATCAGACAGCCATTATCATCTGCTATTCCTCAACATCAGCATCTGAGTGTTTTTGTGAAAATTTCGGGAAAGTTATCCACAAAGAGAATTCCATCAACAAATTGGTTTGGCCAGAAGAAGGGCAGCACGTGTGTATGGGGGGATTGGATCTCCCGGATCAAACTCCGGAATGAGGGTGCACCCGCCTCTTATCTGCGTACAACATCTTTATGAAAAAAGCAACTAAAGGTGAACAAAATCGTCCAATATCACGACTCATGCGATCGACCACATTCTTATCAACAGGTGGTGGTCACTGGATGTCTTGGTATCATCCTTCAGTAGTGTTCGTCACAGTCTTTTTCGAGAAAAAGTGCATTCCAACCGAAAGCTGGAGCAGAACATTTGTATCCGTGTCGCGGAAAGAAGTGAAGAGGACGGCCTCAGGCCAGCTTCTGATCACTTGTGACCAGCTCATAGAGGAGGATCCAACAAATGACCACGACCTACCTTAGAGAACTGAAAAACTGTGGTGGCGCGCTCCGGGCAAGGAACTTGAAATGCATTTAGAAAATCACCAGGGATCTGCTTGAGAGGAGCAGAGAGCTAAGGTGGATTCGATTGCTTCACGTCTCGAGCGACTGCTGGCCGGTATAGGAACAGCTTTGCAGGAATATCTTTGAAAGTACAGGCAATCGAACCTTCTGGAAGCGAGGTGGGAGGTATTGAAGTACTGCCGGGACCTTCTTGATTATCGCATACCACTCACAACATTGCTAAACAAAGACGAAGTTTGCAATGTCTTCTTGACAGAAAAAGGAATTAATCACGAAGAGACTTTGCGGGAAAACCACCACTCCAATTGTCGTAGTACCCGTCACAATCCATACCATGAAATCATTGGGCACCGGGATCGTGTTTTCCTTCGGTCGACTTTTTACATGCTAGAGGTGTCGCCTACAAAAAATACTCATGAAATAACATCTCATCTTCAAAGGCAACGACTTTCTTAGTAAAAGCTTTAAAGTAATTGTTTTTTGTAAGGAGGATAAGGAGGACCTTTGGACTACCGTCCAGTATGCCTGCCAAACCTGCTTTGCAAACTGCACGAATATTCTCATTTGCATATGAAGAACCCCAACCTGTAAAAAAGTTGGATTTCGTAAAGGATCTTCTAGGTCAAATTCAGACAGTTTCGTTATCGAGGTTTGCCGAGAGAATCGCCTAACTCTTGTCCTAACCTTCGTCGACCAAAGCGTTCAGCGTCGAGACTATATACTGTCAGCGCTTGTCGACCAAAGGGTGACCCGTCGTACTTACATTGGCCTACTGCCAAAAGAACTATACAGCGTTGCAGCCCTTCTGTCCCCCCTCCCCTCCCCTAACACAAGAACGCGTTTGACAGCGTAGAAACTGACGTCATACTGCTTGCTTCTTTCGACGGAATGTAGGGCCCATTTCGCGTTAGAACATTGGCC